GTCTGTTTTGTGCATGTCTTCACACAGCATCGTGTTCTCTTTTGTTTCTTTTCTGTCTTTTTTCTTTCTTTCCTTCTTTTCTTTATTTCTTTTTCTTTCTTTCTTTCTTTCTTTCTTTCTTTCTTTCTTTCTTTCTTTCTTTCTTTCTTTCTTTCTTTCTTTCTTTCTTTCTTTTTGAGACTGGGTTTCCTCTGCAGACCAGGCTGCCCTCTAACTCAGAGACCTATGTGCCTCTGCCTCCCAAGTGCTGGGATTAAGGGCCTGTGTACTTTTTACTATGCACTCTCTAACTCAATTATACTCACTTTAAAGTAGTCTTACGTTCTGTAATGGCTTAGTTTTTATTTTTATGACATTTATTTGTTCTTAGTTGCAGTTATTTTCTTTACTTTTTGGTGACCTTTTATTATATATCTACAATTTCATTTGAGAATTCATATTAAAATAGCATTTACCTTTTTAAAGCCAATTTTAAACTTCAGTTTCTATGACCATGCCTAATACATTTGTAATTCTGACAAGGGCAAACCCCAGATAGATATTAGATAGATCTTCTATCTAATACGTATTCAGCCTTAGTATGTTATAAGGATGACACATGGCTGAAGAAAATATACTGTGATTTGAAATGTTTGATGATTTTTCTTTATCTTCCAAAGGAAGAATGGTTCCATAGGTTTATTTCTTCTCACAGAAAATAACTAGGTAATTCTTCAAGTAGTAACACTTTTGCTGTATCATTTCAGGGATCAGTACAAATGGGTTTATTTTCAATTCTTTATTCCAAAGAATTGGAAGAATTCAAGTGACAATCAGAGAGAAAGGGCAATAAAACAGAATATGCACTTAAGATGAGGCAGAGGGAGAAGACCAACAAGCTTGGGTTGCACAGGGCTCTCAGCAGCCTGTACCACGCTAGCTCTGTGTCCATGTTTGACCACACACAGGCAAATGTGTTATTTCTCATCATCTTACTCTCTGTCAGTCCTTCTCATACTGGTTACTTTGATGAGTTTACACTTTTATTGTTAATTACTATATGATTTCAACACATACACACACACACACACACACAGAGAGAGAGAGAGAGAGAGAGAGAGAGAGAGAGAGAGAGAGAGAGAAAATTAGTGGGTAAATGAGTTAGCATGAAGCCTTTATGTTAAACACAAAAAATATTCACCAGATACTCACCAACCTGTTAGTAACATTTTATTCTTCAGCTAATACTGCAGACTAAACTTTATTCTATGAAACAAGAAAAGTAGATTCTATTTCACTTTTACAAAATTTTGAAGTTTTACAGCTATCTTTTATTGTTATCTCTACCTGTCTCACTTTTTTGTCTATGTAACAAGGTAAAAGAGCCTCATAGGTAACAAATTACCTTACAGACTTTTATTATATTTCACCTTTTCCTGCTTAACCTAAAGCACTGACTCTTTCCTCTGATCCTTATTTACTTATGCTACTTTTTCTTATCTTTATACAAATCCCAAACAAAAGAAAAGATTATTATAATTTTTATAGGTTAAATATGTCTTGATATTTCAAAGGCAAATTTACCCCAAATCTCCCGCCCAAGTTTTTTGTCATCCAATCTTGTTTTGGCCTAAGCCATTAGGCCAAACAGTTTAAATGATATAAGCATCTGAGTGATTATTTTATAAGTGGACTGTGCGACTGCAGAGCTTGGCGGAACCTGGAGAGAAACTCTCAAGCTACATTTGACCTCCTACTCTTGCGTTTGACCTCTTACTCCTGAGTTTGAATTTTAGAACTGGATTCTCAATTTTCATTTGATTATAAGGATTTTTATTCAAATTCTTTGCACTTTTTAACCCTAGATAAAATGTTACGATTCTGAGTTCTCACATTTCTCCTCTTCTATTTTCTTTAGCTTTTTTCAAGTCCATTTGGGATTTTTGAAGTTATTGTAATACATTCTTCTTAGGTTTCCTTGTTGTTGTCTGTCTAGAGAAATACCAAAACTGTGTGTGAATTTTTTAAATTGTCTTTATTTTAACTTGGATGCTAATCTTTAAGGGACTACCATTTTCTTCTAAGAGGCTCATCAGAAGGAAATAGAAGAGTGTCGATGTCCTGCAGGGCTTCTGAGGCAGCATTTCTTTTTAATTGGGTTGAGCTCTGAAGGGAGAAAGGTGTTGGGAAGAAACAAGCAACTTCACAAGAGAAGAAAGTGTTGGGTTTTTCAGGCCGTGAGGAAAAAAAATCCCTAAAGCATCTGGATCAATTATTAACTTATTTCTTTTTAGTTTTAAGATTTATTTATTTCACAGTCCCAAGACAACTTACAAACTCTATATATTCAGTGCAACATATCTGTTTTTAAATTAGTAAAGTGTGAAGAGGGGAGATTAAATATAGACTCCTAAGACATCAGGGAGAAAGCAATGTATCAAAATGCAGGTCATTAACATCTTGCATAATGATTAAAGCTAAACTGTATATATAATTCTAACATGCCCAGTGACCGAAATAAGTAGGGGGAATGAATGGGTTTTAGGATTCCTATTGTTATCAAGATGCAATCTACTCAGGAAACCAGACAATTTCCAAAGTGTTAAGGTCTGAAAAACTGTTTTCACACAGACCCTCCTCATACATAATATACTGAGATAAATTAGGGTGCGTCTTCAGTAACTTCTCAATAATAAATAGTAGCTACTATAAGCAATGTCATAATAAAACTTTATTTTCATATAATTGATACATATTAATAAAAATGAAAAAATAACATCCCATGATTTCTTATAGTGTGCTTTTATCTAATCAGAAAGTATAATCTTAAAGGAAATTCCAGTGGGGTTTGTCTGGCAGAAGCATGCTTAACACTAGCATGAAAATATCCAAACTCACCTCTTGACTCAAGATTAAAGTCTTGGCTCTTAAGTAGAGCTTGCTAATGCAGTGATGCTTTCTAGCAAACAAAAAAACAAAACACGAAGACACCTTGGGGTTTATAACCAACTAGAAAATGCATATTCTAGTGACTGCTGTACAAGTGAAATGAACAACCTCAGTGAACACCCAAACAAATGTTTTTCTGACTTGAATATGTTTGCAGCCTCCACAGGTGAGAAGGGACCTTGAACATGGTTTTCTTGATGGCTGCCTCATCTGCTCCTCCCATGATGTCTGGCATCTACTAAATATTCAATAAACATTTTAGGAATAAATGCATAAGAAAATGGAAAGCTGTAAGTGGCTTATTTTGTATAGGGTGGTTTGTGCATAGTTGTGCAGCACAAAGAGATTCTGTGTTTCAGCAGGGCCCTGAAATGTGAACAGATCTTCTCTTTTACTCATTAGGAGCAGACCCGCATGTATTGGAAAAGCAAGTTGTTACCCACTCAAGCAAACTAAAGAATACTTAGCAATGAGGCTTGAGGATTTTGCGGTGCTCAGATCTAATATGAAATTAATGTTGCTGTTTTTTTTCTTTTTGAATATGTTAAATTCAGTACATGTTGAAATATTTATACAATCTTTTAAGGAACATTCATTCATATGCACCTAGTTCATGACTCTTGTAATCTCTTGATGTCTCTATTATACTTCAGAAAGCCTATGACTGCCTGTCACTTCTCACCAAGCTAAAGAGTTTCTTACTTAATTTTCTTCTGCAATAGCCTCTTTCTCTTCTTGTTTTCCTTATCTAATTCTTGCATTTACGGTCTGTGCTTTATAGTGTGGAGAGTAATAAAACCCAGGATTCTAGCTTGAAAGGCAGATTTCAGTACTTATTAGCGGCTTGACATTAACTACTGGTTTCCATAGTCTAAAACACTCTCCACATTATCTCTCCTGATGAATTGCTGCATGGTTTGAATGAGATAACCTGTGCTGTGTGCACAAGAACAGTGGTACAGCCAGTGGTGAACGTCAATCTTACTTGTCATCACTATTCTGCCAGAATTTTTTTTGTCTAAAACCTAAATCCAACCCTGTTCATCCTTGCTCAAGTGTTCAGCGCTTTCCAGAAGTCTAAATGATCTCCTCAACTTTCTTTCACATTCCTGTCACCCACTATCACATCTTCCTTCCCTCCCTTTATCATGGATCTCTTCTGCATTCAACTGCACAAGTCAGTTGTGTAGTCTCCAAGAGTTGGTCCACATTGTTTTCTCTACAGAAGGATCCCCCTACCTGCTCTGGCAAAGAGCATTGCCTTTCCACTATTTTTTCCTCCTCTGAAATAATTTCTAAGGCCCCTTGGTATAATAATAACTCTTCAGTCTACACAGACTATATAAAGATGCACTGACTTTTTTTGCTTATGCTTATAAGTATTTTGTGAATTTCTCTAGGCCAGAGACCCTCTCAAGCTAGCTCCAAGTCTCAAAATTCCTAGCATACAATGAAATTGCCATTTGACAAAGGAACTTGATAGACGCCGTTTAACAAAAGAACATGAGCCTAGCCTCGAGTCTCCAACCGCCTCACGTGTTTTGTGATATTTGTTGAATTGCATTTATCAACCTCCCTTTATTTCAAAAGAGATTGGCTGCTCCAGAGCTCCTTCGTACTGCCTGTGGCGGGTTAGACCTGAAATGTTCTGTTTAGGGATTGCCAACAGGAGCTAGCACACTGGCAGTTATAAGCAAGAAGCACTGCCTACTGAAAACCACAAGAATTGCCAGCAAAGGTTAGAAAAAGGATTTTCTGACAGAGTTGCCCCATCCTTGTTCCCTTCACTTCCCATTCCAAATCTACCGATAGAGAGGAGGCGGAAAAGGTAAAAAGTACATTGAAAAAGTTGGCCGGTTCGCCCTCTCCTCCTAACCCAAAGAAACACTACACCACGCTTGCTGCCCTCTGAGTTACCTCAGAAGAGGACAAGATTCACAGCTTCCCAAATCTGCCCTGAGTTTCCTCTTCCCCCCCCCCAACCCATTTTCCGCTAGTCTCTGCCCACTCCCCATCCCCAGCATCCTCCCCACCTCTTCTACAAGCGACCGGAGAACCGCCTCCAGACTTTTTGTTCTAGGACCTCCGTGATTATCAACAAAAGATGCCAATCAGACAGCCTTAGCCAAATCCCTGAAAGCCCAGTTCAAAAGGAAAAGAAAAAAAAATCAGGTTTAAGACACAAGAAAAAGGGACGCAGCAAACCACAGCGCAGGAAAACTGGGCGCACACAGGCACGTAGGCTCCCCTGCATGGAAACAGCAGGTTGTAACCGACTACCCGGAGAACGCGGAGCACCCCAGACAGGAACTTTAAAAGGATTGAAATCTGTTGCCTGTTCCACTAGGAATATTGTTTGCAAGGCACAAGGTGTCTTTTGGTAGTGAGTACCCTCTGCGCATGCGCAGGTCCATTCGGGAATTACTGCCCAGCCGCCGACTAAGTTGCATTCCTTGAATCTTCGCAGAAAAGACAATTCTTTCATCAGAGTTAGTAATGTGGACAGTACAAAATCGAGAGAGTTTGGGGCTTCTTTCTTTTCCTGTGATGGTTGCCATGGTTTGTTGTGCACACAGGTGAGCTGCCTTCTCCAATTTCTCTCTCTCTTTTTTTTTTCTTGATGTTTTTCTTTTTCTTTTCTTTTCTTTTTTCGTGTTTGCTGGATCATGTATCTTGTTATTTGGGGGTAGGCGTGCCTGGATCTTTTTATGTCTGTTTGCAGTTTGTGCTCATTCTGAATACAGCCCCTACTTCTTCCCTTCAGCTCCAATGAGCCCAGCAACATGTCATACGTGAAAGAGACAGTGGACCGACTGCTGAAAGGATATGACATTCGCTTGCGGCCGGACTTCGGAGGTAATGCTTCATCATTTTCCTTTCAACCTGTAACCCATCCCTAGTTCACCTTTCCGTCAGAAAGAATGCCCCCTTCCCCATTTCCTCATTTCTGTAAACGTGCAGTACTACGCCCTGGACATCATACACACACACACACACACACACACACACACACACACACACACACTCAGGATCCCCAGTCTCAGGTGGACATAGCCTCAGGCTGAGCTGTCCCTCTCCTTAACTCGACACACCCTCTGCACTGTCACTGCATCACGCGTGTGCCCACACCTGTTTTTCCAGGCTGTCCCCTACGACAGGGATGGGGGTAGGGAGGGAGCCTGCTTAGACTGTAATAAGATTTGGGAAGCCCCTGTGTCCCCTCAGCCCCCTGCCACTCAAAGACTGTCTTTGCTGTGGTCCCACCTCCCCGGCAGGGCCCCCGGTGGACGTCGGGATGCGGATCGATGTCGCCAGCATAGACATGGTCTCGGAAGTGAACATGGTGAGTGGCCTCCCCACCGCTCGGCGGCCCGCCGAGCTTACGCAGATGCGAAATGGACCTGTTCTGTGTCCTCTGCTTTTCATTGGTGGTCAACCTCGGCCCTGGTCCCCAGGGTCCCACTCCTCGCGTACGCCCCACTCCAGTACACACACACACTGTCGATCACCCCACAGTATGTATTTTCGACACACACGGGCTACTGCGGTGTTCCGAGGGAGACGTACTCCGCACTATTTTGGGAAGGAAGAGGGACTGTTGCGCCGGAGGATTGGCTGGGGCGGAGTCTGAGTCGTACTTTAGCCGGGTCTCCCGGAGTGTGGAGATAGGCAGGGCACCATCTGCCGGCAGCCAGGTGGCCTGCACTGGGGTCCCCCGGACCAGAGGTTCGCAACCACAGCCAGGCCAGGCACAGTGCCCACAGTCATCACAGATTCCCCCAGCCTGATAGTCCCAACCCACCTAGCTCCGCCACCAAGCTAGCTGGCAAAGCTCGCAAGTGTCCCCTTCCTACTACAGAATCCAGCACAGCGTTTGGCAGGAGCAACAGGCTGAGATGAACAGTCCAGGATGAACAGCAGAAGTGCCCAAGCTTGCTTCTGGGCATCTTAGATCCATGTGAGGGTGTATGTGTTTGTCTTTCTACAGCTCGCAAGTTTTAAGTTGAAAGAGAATCAGTCGAATCACATGGCTTTGCTTTATTCTAGTAACCTAGGCAAGAGGAAAAGATCTGATGGTTAAAAGGACTGAGGCAGCGGAGGGGTGGATTATAATAGTCATTCATTTTAAGGGATCTACATTTTACCTTCCCTTTCTTCCTCCCTCCTTCTCTCTCTCCCCCCTTCCCTCCGTCCCTCCCTCCCTCCATCCCTCCCTCTCCTTATCTTCATGTCTTTTCTCTGGGCTATGGTAGAAGGTATTGAAGTCACAGCTGCCACTTTAGCTTTGGTTGTTTCCCTGCACCCTGGGAAGCCGTTTTCTAGTTGTTAGAGTTCAGGGGGAAAGAAATGCCTGTTGCTTTTCTAGAATCCACCACCCAGGAAACAAAATGTCGTTTTTATTCCACTCTGGAAAAAAAAAATACGGCAACAGAAATTTAGATATACTGGATAACTTAGGCTAGGATCCTTTAGGATTTTCTCTGTCTGTAACAGTTATTGAATTGTTGTTCATTTCATTCCTAGTTGGCCATTTTTTATTGTAATATGCTGAGGTTTAAGAATTATCCTTTTCATCTTTTAGATTATGTCAGGAAGCTATAAATATGCTTTAGATCATTCAGTGGATGGTATAGGTATAAAATGTGTGGCTTTGGAGGGAGAGCTGTAACTCTCACTGTCTTAAGTGGCTTATTTCAAATACAACTTTATAATGTCTCAGATGGTTTCAAATAATATTTTACAAGTGTGTTTGACTACTACACTGAAAAAGAAATCCATCTTTTTCAAATTTGATAAACCAATGGATCTTTTTTCTTTTTTACTTAGCAGAGACTTTTTAACAGACTAGTATTCTGTTTCCATGTGTGCTATTATCTAAAACAACTATTTACAAACATCCAGAGGAGCATGATGAGATGGGCACACATAAGGCCAGCGGCCTATGACTGAAAATGCAGCCAGATGCCTTAGCTTAACAATTAGTGTCAGTGCATATACATGATGATAACATTTTCCTGTTCAGTCATTTATCTGGCATCTTGTCATCATCTCCACAGATAATTTATATATAGATGATTCTGAAATCTCAGAAGGTAAATTGTGCCTCTGTCAGTGGTCCATGCCACTATAATAGGGTACTTAGTATTTCAGAGCTACAGGGACTCCCAACACCAAATACAGACAAACATACATGGGCATGCATGCATGTGCACACACATGTCTATATACAAATTATTTTACAATCTGTTAAAACCTTTTTTTTTTTTTTTTTTTTTTTTGGTTTTTCGAGACAGGGTTTCTCTGTGTAGCTTTGCGCTTTTCCTGGGACTCACTTGGTAGCCCAGGCTGGCCTCGAACTCACAGAGATCCGCCTGGCTCTGCCTCTCGAGTGCTGAGATTAAAGGCGTGCGCCACCACTGCCCGGCCCCAATCTTTTAAAACTTAATTGAATGTATAAGTTGCATAACCATAACAGCCACCACAAGAAAAAGCTCTGTCTAGTCAGTTGTTGAAATGGATTCCTACACAAGCTGGGAAGGATCACATGTAAAATGCAGCAGCATAGAACACCTTCTCCTAATGACTGAGTAATACAATCTGCTTACTCACTGCTCTATGATACATGCACTTAGTATGTATTTATAAATAGTCACTCAATAGATAAGCCTTTGATAATGCTCTTTACCAACATACTCATTGTGTTTCTCTGTGACATCAGAGACATAGGAAAGAAGTGGCCCCAAAAGTTGGAAAATAAGAAACCTTGCTTTGTGTCCTTTTTTCCTTTTAATGAGAGTTATTGACAAGACTTGGGTATATTTTAGTGTCATATCTATGTCAAAGTGTTAAAATGAATTAATTACACTGGAAACAACTACAGACAATGGAAATATGGAGGGAGACATTCTTTTGAAGGGTTAAGAGGGCAATATGTACAGAACAGGGATAGTTAGTACTACCCATAACCTTTACCAAGAAGAGAATGCTCTGCAACGTGCTTTGAACACTATAAGTAGGAATAAAGGTCTTTGGGAAATAAGACCTATAGCTTGTTATTAAGTACTCTTCTGTAACGTGGTGGGCAGTAACTTACATGTGATCATATGATAGGGAAATTTCTACAAATTGAAAACAAAATAAGAATTGACAATAAAATATCACAAGTAGCATTTAATGAAAATGTAAGTTAAATGCCTTACTGCAACATTGCTAATTTTCACATTTTTAGTTACTATTGTTATTACATAGTCTGTGGCTGGGGACATGGCATGATGATTATGCATTAAATTAATGGGTTAGAGAAGTAGAGTTCTATTAATTTTTGTCCTTTTTTGCTAATCTAAGTAAAATGTGTTTCCAAATTGGTTTATAATATTACCCATTTTAAGGCTAATTTCTTATCATGACTACTTTCTGACTAATGTCCTTCAGGATATGAAATGTGGTTCCAAAATTAAGAAAAGAAATGGAAATTGTTATGTTAAAGAATATGTACCAGAAACCCTAAGATTCATCAATACATTACTGTGCACATTGGTACATATTTTTTTGTATCAAATACACATTAATTTAAGTAAAATTAAGAAAAATAGTTCACTAGTTCTGGGAAGTGAATTAAAAACATTTAGAGAATAATTTTAATGTAGAAACACATATATAACATATATGTGTTTATACATATATAACATATATGTGTTTATACATATATCTTATATATAATTGAAAGTAAGACTTCTTTACAATATTAATTATTATTGATTCAAAAAGAAAGTTTTCTTTCTCATTATGGACTTTGTGGTGATGTGACAGTAACCACATAGTGTTATTATTTTCTAAAGTCTTATACAGAAAAATATCTCCCAGTTTCCATTTATTGTACTTTAAACACTCAGATCTTTTAATTTTACAATTTCCATGGTGCTCTACACACACACACACACACACACACACACACACACACACACACACACACACTCACTCACAGTTCCATAACTAACTAGAGCAGGAGGCAGGTAGAATGAAAGGAGGTAATAGCTCACAGCAATTACTCGTAAAATAACCACCACCATCTGCTCAGTAAAAGAGGCAGTAGCAGACAGAAGTTCTCTCTTTGAGTAGTGTCTTGGAGAAACATGATGCAGACTGTAAACAACAAAGGAACTAAGCTTTTCTATTCAGATGTCCACAACAAGCTGTCCTCTTGCAAGAGCCAGATGCAGTCATCAAGAAGCAATTCCAAATACAGTTTTCTTTCCTTGAGCTGAAGATATGATGGTCTAAGTGTCCACATGTAGAAGACTATACATGTAGAGCTCTGACTCAAACTGAGAGACAGTACAAATCATTTCTAGTAAGAGGTAGGTAGCCTCGCTCCTGTCTTCACTGTTCTTCAAGGGCAGTGGTGAATGCTCTTATAGGATTCACATATAACTTCAACAATGACAAGAAAAAGACATAGTTGTACAAATAATGCATAAAACAAATTAAACTGAACAGATATCCATCTATATTCCATATTGTTGCTATTTTAATATTAGATTCCATTGGTTCTTGGTACGACATCGAGCTATGTTTAATTGCCATTACCATGACTCAAGACAAGAACCACCTGTCAGAACTTTTCCTGGCAATAACCCTTCTTCTTCTTTGCCCCAGCTTCTTAACCTTAAAGGCATACCTCCCTCACCCTGAGGCTCACAAAATGCAAATTCCAAATCTCAGGTTTGGCAATGGGGTCTGATAGTTTGTATTTCTTCTGAAGGAAGCCAATTAATTGCTGGTGTGCAGACTGCCCTTTGAATATCAACACTGAAGAACATTATTCTAATGTTATCTTTAAAAGTGAACATTCTTTTCCTTTTGATTTTTTTTCTAGGAGCAGCAAGCAGTATTTCAAAACTTCACATGAAGTTTGAAGTTCCTTTCTAGTTAGTCTAATAGGTAGCTGTACTCAAAGGGAAGATTAGTTCCATAATTAAAGATAAATAAGATTCAAAGTCAAGAAGAGCCTAGGAGATGTGGTTCAGAGGAAACTGAAATCTTCTATCAATACTTGTTAGTCAGCTAGTGCTAAGTGCTAAGGGGAGAAAAAAATTGTCAAGTACAATACTATCTATCAATATCATATATATTGAGCCAAGCACATACCAACATCATCCTTTCCCCTTAAAGAATATGCTTTATGTTATACTATATTATGTTATATTATGAGTCAAGCACATAACAACAACAACATCATCTTTTCCCCTTACAGACTACTCTTTACTTTTATGCTTCATAATACAGAACACAGACTCTTTTCCCCTACCAAATAGCTAGCAATAGATGTGAAAAAAAATAGCC